TTGGTAACATGAAGCCTGAAGAGATGTCACAGAGAGAAAGTTCAGAAATTACATTTTAATGGGGAATTGAAAAGGAACTGGCTGAATATTTTCTGTTGTGGGTCATGAAGATTCCCTGGGGAACGCATTTGAGGAAGTGGGGAGCAGCAAAAAGTGATTTAAAGCCTTTGCAGCCAATCACAGCCACTGCAAAATGACATTTATTTTGTTCACTGCTCACCATCCCAAGCACGTCTGCTCCCCCAACCTTTTCACCTCTATTTGTGACTCTAAAAACAAATTTCTCTGCACCTCTTTTGAAAGAAATAAACCCAAACCACAAACCAAAGGCATTTTTGGGTGATAAAAATGATCATTCTCATGGTAACATTCACTAGCATTTAATTTTCATTTTAATTAATTTCATTTTAATTAATTTTCACTTCTGGCTGAAACTTCAGTTGGAGTGAAAAGGGAAATATCTCATTTTTTTACTGAAGTTATTACGGTCTGGATCCTCATTTTGCATAAAGAAGCAAAGCTCTGTTGATTTGAGTATCACGGCAATTTAATTCTTTTTGAATGAAATTAAAATCTTTTTCTAAGCACAAATTGCAAATGATGAAAATAGTGGATTAACGATTTATTCTTGGCAGGTTCGCAGCTTTATTCCTTAATTGTGGAGACAGGGAAAAATCTGGGAATTAAATTCCTCCTGGAATAAAACTCGGGATGCGATGCAGCTCACAGTGAAGGAAAAGATTTTGGAGAGATCAAATTTAATGTTCTGAGACAAAACACTGGAGTGACGTGAAATCCACATTAACGAGCAGCAACGGAGTGAAAGTGAAGCAGCAATTCCTTTGTCTTCTTAACTCCTCAGTTAAAAACTTAAAAGAAATTTAATTTAAAAGAAATTAATTTAATATTATCCTATTTTTCCCCCTAAAAAGACTTTATCAACATGAGACTGTTTAACACAAACCCCCCCTAAGGAAACTCAAAATGCTGAAGAAAATAAGATTTTTCTCCCAGTGATTCTTGACACCTAATTCGAGAYGAGGCTACAATTGCCAAAATATTCCCTGAACATCCAAAAATATAATTTCTTTTTTTTTCTTTAGAATATTTTAACATCTACCTTCTCAACCAGAACATTTTTTTTTCTCTATTTCTCTATGCAAAGAGCAGTTAGCACTACTCAAATTGTGCATTCGGGTTTTTTTTTTTCCCTCTCGGTTTCATCCTTAAGAAATTCTTTAAAATGTCACAACTCCAGCAGGACCTGAGCAGCCTCCACTGCTTCCTACAGGCAATAAATATTAGAATAAAATCAATATTTATTGTCCCAATTTACGCCTTGCTGGCATGAAACAAAAAAATCTGGAGAACTCACACTCCTCAGCAACCAAATTTTTTTTCTGGTGTGATTGTCAAAATATTGAATTTTAAATGGAAAACAAGCCAGAAATGCTCTTCAGARTGCCAGCACACAGCCAAAAATAGTTGAAATTACAATTAAAAATTAMCCTGATGGTGATAAAACCACACAGGAGCAGTTTTTTTTCCTGCCCCATCCTAAATTTTCTCCCTGACTTTTCATTCCCTGCTGGAATAATGCACTTACGAGCGGCCTACGGTGTTTGACGCAGTTCTAAAAGTATAAACAGCAGAATATTCCAACGAAATGGGGAAAAATCTGGGATTTTGCACAGGATTGGTAAAATTTACAATCTGCTGGCTGTAAATATGGACGGGATCTGCTGTGMCCTCACTGGGGGCCTCAAAACTGAGCTCAGCCCTTTGGGATTTGTTGCATCCCCTTGGGATCCCAATGCTTCCCCTCAAAACCCAACGTTTTTCCCCAAATCCCAACCCTTTCCTTCAAATCCTAATCCTTTCCCTCAAATCCCAACCCTTTCTACAAAATCCCAACGGTCTCCCCCAAATCCCAACATTTTTCCCCAAATCCCCCAAATCCCAATGCTTTCCTTCAAATCCCAACCCATTCCCCCAAATCCCAGCCTTTTCCTCCAAATCCCATCCCTTTCCTCCAAATCCCCGCTTTTTTCCCCAAATCCCAGCCTTTTCCCTCAAATCCCAATGCTTTCCCCTCGAGATCCCAACTCTTTACCTCAAATCCCAGCCCTTCCCCCCAAATCTCAATGTTTTCCCCCAAATCCCCACATTTTTGCCCCCAATCCCAACCCTTTCCCCCAAATCCCAACTCTTTACCTCAAATCCCAGCCCTTTCCCCCAAATCTCAACCCTTTCCTCCAAATCCCCCCATTTTTCCCCAAATCCCGGTCCTTCCCCCATTGGATGAAATGCATCTCAATAGTCCAAAGTCTGTTCCTAATTTTGACTCACAAGGGACACAGAGCCACCCCCGTGGCACAAAAATCCCACAACAAAATTGAAAACCCCTTTTCCGAGGCCTTTGGGATAAAATTCAACCACCACAAACCCTTTAGGCTATGTCTGGGCACAAAGTTGGATTTTCATAATCAAAATAAATGAATAAAAACTTGAACTTCATAGACCCCTCAGATTTGCTTGGAAAAATTCTTCTTTTTTCTCCACCTGAAAAAGAACAAAACCCAAAAACGCTCCCAGCTTTTCTCGCGCCGACTTTTGACGCCGATGATGTGAAATTCAGAATTTTCAG